TAAAATTAACTCTTCATTGTCTAACGCTGTCCCTGTTAGAAGTGGTGTAATACAAGGTAGTGTCTTAGGTCCTTTGCTCTTTTTAGTGTTTCTCAATGATATTTGTGAAAGTTTTTGTGTGGGTAAGCTCCCTCTATATGCAGATGATCTTAAAGTAGTATATTCATTTTCTCCACATGAGCTGAAAAATATGCAAAATTGCATCAGCATAGAGCTTAACAAGTTAGCACAGTGGTGCTTAAAATGGCTACTGGAGCTCAATACGGCTAAATGTGGATTGATATGCTTCGGCGATACATCACTCAACCTAGACATTACCATAAGTGGAGTAGTGTTATCTAGGTTACATACGGTAGTAGACTCAGGACTTAGATATTCCCAAGACTTGTCGTTTACAGAACATATATTAAAACAGACCTCTAAGTCTCAACGTCTAATAGGTTACATAACTCGAAATCTTTACAACACTGAGTCACGTATTCTAATGTACAAAGTTTGTGCTCGACCTCTTCAAGAATATTGCACGTTTATTCTTAGCAGTGCGCTCATAAAGGATAAATTAAGGCTGGAATCAGTACAGAGACGAATTACACTTCGTATTCTTGGAGCTGATTGTACCTTAACTCATAATTCTAGATGTAATCAACTTGGGCTAGACCCTTTTTGGAGGAGGAGACTCAAACTAAATCTTATCTTTTTTTCAAACTACTTCATAAACTATCGTTTACATCCGATCACGCGATTTAATGTGCAGAAACCTCTCATTATGACATCCGTAATTCCTTGGCACTAGTGAAACAAACTCATTCTTAATCATCTCTTTATATGAATTACTTCACCTGTAAATTTTCTAGACCCGAATAACCTACCGCAATCTATCCGCACGACAAAATCACCCTCATTATTCGTTCGCTGCATCGATGCATACTGCTCCTCTGAAAATGCATTGAATGGTCTAGCACCTGTAAGTGTATCTCATTCCACAAGTAGTATTATAGGATCTTTAAATGTTTATCCATTTAGTGCATTCCCTAAGTAGAACCACCTACTTGCTGTCACTTTATGCTAACACCGTCCCTAGCAACTTTAACTAATTTGAATAACATAAACAGTATATCACTGTGTCACATGACACACGCATTTAGGTAGACCTGATTGACATATTTTGGTAATTACTTTTTTGTTGTTCCGTGTTTTCTGTTTTCGTTTTAATTTCTCTAGTTGTAGATAATTATCATTATTTCGATCTGGCATACGAATTGACCTTAATTACACCGTTCAAAAATCAACAGGCTGACCATTTAAGAAATATTAAAAATTCCCGGCTGATGCGCTGGATCGCTGTAATTTATGTACTACTTAAACAACTACTGAACTAGTATACTTAAAACTTTCTTTTATCACATGTTTGTTCTGCACGTCTAACGTTATTATTTATATCAAATTGATCATGCCTGTAAACTGACGTGAATTCTGTAATCATTATTTTTCAGAATATAAAATTATTATTATTATTATGAACTAATGATTATTTTGTAATTGCTGTCTGCTTGATTTCGGATTCCAGACATAGTATCTTTGTTCTAATATTTCTTGATTCAAATGCGTTACCTCCTGTGTTCTTATTCTTTACTATAATTCAAATGCTTCTAATTATCATAACAACAAACCTTATATCTATCTTGAATTAGGAAAGCCTTCTTGTGACTAGATAATATTGACTACTGGGCTCTGTCTAACAATATTTAAGACCTGCCTGCTCCAAGGTCAAGGACTCCAAAACGCTGTTACTTTCGATTTCTGCAGAAAATATGACTTTTTGAGACACGCCTAGGGATTCGTTTTAAAGAACGTAATTGGATTAAGTGACTAACCATATAAAGGCCCCCTCCGCAATATTTGATAGTTTTCGCTAAGCTTGCGTATAATCCAAAATGAACTGACAACGGTATACAACATACTAAGCAGTTCTAGTCAGCCAAACTAAAATATTCTGTCCGTGCGCCGACACTGCAGTTCATGAAATGACGCAGGACAAGTCGCTGATTATAAACAACTGCCTTCGTGAAGTCAAACTTCTTCACATTGAAGATAGTCTGCTTCATGAATTCTCTGTCAGTCAATCAAATATCGACGTACATTCCTCCCATATCACCACCGACGGCTTTTATAAATTTACATGTATCTGCTAGGGTAGAATGATGTGCTTATGTTTATTTTCAAGTGCAACTACCAAAACATCAGTTCAGTGAGATTGGAGCATCTCAGAAGTACTATCTCAGACATCAAGTCGATACAGGACATCAGGTTAAAATTATGAAAACTTTCTTGATTGTTTGTCGATGACAGTACCCAGTTCTTTCGAAATTAGACATAGCCTTAAATATCTTAAACCCAAGACTAAATTCATCTATCCTGAAGAGGATGTGGTTTAAACCTATCTTCATGACTGTGATTTTATCACTAGCTTGCTAAATCATACTTTCAATGATCTCTTATTTTGGTTCCTATTTGATTTTGCTCGAATTGCTAAATTTATTTTAAGTAACTGATTACAGTCATTCTGGTACTTAGTTAGCGTTCATCTATATAGTCACGTGATTAAATCTACCCAGTTAACTTTTTGGCCCTTCGGTCATTTATTACTATGGCTGATGATTCAGAATATATTTCACACTAGACTCTTTCAATCTCATTACATAATTGCGAGCCAAAGTTTTCTCATTACGATGCTTATCAACATTTCAACGTTTTCACCCTAGTGCGCATGTAAAATTTTTGGCCCTAAGCACACCATGAGAACCAAACGAAATAAAATGCGTTGGTGCCAATCTGACCTATTCTTTATTTACAAACACGCAGATATTTGTCCGTTCAAAATGTTTGTGTAAAATGTTCTTTCATCTGTTTTCACAGTCATGTTCTCTTTAATCCTTGATTCTTCCCACTTTAAAACTTTGATGCCTCAAAACCTAACTTCTAAGTTAATCCCGTGACCTAGGACATAAGCAAACAAAAATACTCGAAAAAATGTTGCTCTGAATTAAGCATCAAAGTCAGCAGTATGAGTGTGGCCAAGTAGCTGAATCTTCCACAAATAACGATATCGAATGCCTAGAATTCCACATCAACTTCAAACAGATGGCCGGAAGAAATCAGTTGTTCTATCGACAACAAATCTATAAACTCTGTAGAAAAAAGGTGATTCCTCCCTAAGCTAGGATATCTTTTTTACTAAACCACTCAAAATGTCAAATACAACCGATAATGACTCTGTGTGCTTAGCGACATAACATGTTTAAGCGAGCTCGCTACAAAATAATTTCATTGTTAAGGTCATTATATCATTTTGAAAAACATCAGCTGATATCACGACACACAATTTCGGTAGGTTTGTCTAATCCTTTTTTTAAAATTATTTTTCACTTTAATGTATAACAGGTATTTGAAAAAATAATATGAATGCCAAGAAACACTAATATCAGCTACAGTGGCTAATGTTACACAGAACCGATGTACATATAATATATTCAGTTTTAGATGAAGCTTATTAAGATTATAAGGCCGTGTTACAGATAGTCTGATGTATTGTTCGTTAAATCGCACACTTTAAAACCTGATAAATTCCGAATGTCTGAGGTTGTCTCGGATATTTTACGGAGTCGTTCATTTGAAATCTTTAAGGCTTTCGAAATAGTTCCATAATTCTATTGGGTAAAATTTATAACGTGTAACTTCACAATTATTCAACATTCCTTCCTTTTTTCATTCGTTTAATTTTTTCCTCACTATGAATAACACCAACGTTGATGGAATTAGGCAAGAATTTTTCAAATTGTGTCATGTTTTTAGACACTCATGTTGTCGTTTGTTCATCAAAACTCACCACGATTACTGTCATATAAACCTATGAGAGAAATTGAAGTTCGAAGCATTTAAAATCGCTTGCTACATATGGTCTGCAATGCTTGAATGTGTCGTGGAATACCATATGGTACTAAATGTATGCCAGAATTTTAAAATTCGTTTGAAATAGCTTTACCCGACAAAATCTCAATATTTTATCACTATTTGAAGGATGCTCTTTATTGTTGATCTGATACGTAATGAATTTTTAAGTGGTATTATTAATCTGCTTGACATGTTTTGAAATCCTTCATTTTTGAAAAATCGCCTTACTTAAAAGGATTCATCCATTATATTGTTTCGGAAACTTCGCATTTCATCAGTTTTGTTTATGATCACACTTTTATCGTGAAAAAGAGTATGAGTGAGTCTTGAGACTGAATGTCCTGTATCGTTTCTGAGTCGCTGTTTGATAAATTCAAGTGTCTAGAATACGGTATAAGCACCACGAACATAAAAGTGACTCGCCCTGACGGTGAGCTTGTTTTTGTAATCTTCTTTGAGATACGTTAATTAAAAATTATTGGAGTAATCGCTTTCATGCCCTTATACTATTTATTTGGGTAGTTGGTACATTTCAGCATCTACAAAAAACTTCAATCTTCCCAGGGAATGTTTGCATTTTCTATATGAACGTTTTCTTTATAATAATTTAAAAGCCAATGGTAAATGAATCATTTTGCATATTCTTCTCATTTTTGAATCTCTAGAAATGGTTGGTTCCAACTAGTGTTTAATTTCATCGTTTTTCTTGCACACACTTTGAAGTGTTAAATCACACCAACCTGTAATCTTTATAATGTAGATAATGATTTAACGGCTTTTTCTATGAAAATAAGCTGGGTGTTTTAGTAAGATTTATCTGAAGTCAGCAATTTTCGATTAAAAATTAATTTTCTTACTCACAAAAACATTCAGCATAAAATTCTTATATTCAATATTTAACATTAAACATTTGACTCACAAGTATTTTTATGTATATTTCTTTCTTCGGTGGTATTTAGGTCCTTGTGTCATGTAAGTTTAGCAACACATCAGTAAACTTGTCTAACATTAGGACTACTCCAGTAGCCGCCAACTATGAAAATGCATCTATGGCAGCAGATTATATTAAATCAGTGTCAAACGTACTACCAGATATTGGAATTATATGTGGTAGTGGTCTCAGTAAATTAGTCGAAGAGATAGAAGAACGTAAGACAATCCCTTACATAAATATACCAAACTTCCCAAAAACAACCAGTTAGTTTTTTTAACGTTTTTATACACAAATATCAGTTGCTGGACATGTTGGAAACTTAGTGCTTGGAAATCTTGGTGGTCGCAAAGTAGTTGCAATGCAAGGGAGATTTCATATGTATGAAGGATATTCAAACGAAGAAGTGAGTAACCGGTAATAAATTTATATCCAACAGATTGCACTTCCTATTCGAGCCATGAAGCTCTTGGGAGTTAAAGTTCTTATGATTACCAACTTAGCTGGTGGGATTAATAGAGAGCTTAAAAGTGGAGATTTTGTAATAATAAAGGGTCATATAAATTTTCCTGGACTTGGGTTAAATAATGTGTTGGTTGGACCCAATCAAGATGAGTAGGTTCCAATTTCCTCTTCAACTTTTACAGATTCGGACCTCGATTTCCCGACCTATCTAATGCTTATGATCGTCCTTTGCGACAATTGGCTTTAAAAATAGCACAGGAATACGGTTTTCAGGATTTGGTTCGCGAGGGTGTTTATGCTTTTAATGGTGGTCCTACATATGAAACTCCCGATGAGTCCAATATGCTACTCAAGTTGGACTGTGATGTTGTTGGTAATTTCATTAAATTTTTATCCACCATAAGTTGGACAAAATAATTTGAAATGGGGATTTCGCTATCAATTGGACAGACTTTATATATATATCGATAGTAGATTTATAAATACATACCTATCAATTTTCATTTTACCAAACGTTTATCCTACTTTAAATTACAGGTACGCTTTAATTGGGAGTCACAAATGCTTTTCATTTTTAAAAGCATATAACCTCCTGAGCCAAAATCATTGATTACGAAACTGTTGTGTGGTTGAATTACATGTCGACACCCTGATTCGTTATATCTTACGCTTTGAACTTCAGAGTTGTAAAATTTCGCTTCCTACTAACAGATATGGTTTACAGTACAACTCATGAAGCTATGATACTTTACCCAATCACATTGTTGTATTATTAGAGCTCCAATTTGATTACTTTTACTGCATGTACAGTAGTTTCTAGTTTAACATTCGATTGCTTGATGCTGTGGTGAATGAAGATATTTGTTTTTTAATGTCAAATAACTTTTGCTCACTTGTCTCAACATAAATATGGCAGTCGATTTCCACTAACCTAGTAATATCCAAAAATTAGTAACAAAAATATTACTTAAATTCACTTATTAACTGAATTACAATCTCTACATTGTGCACATAAAGTCTCCCTTACGTGTAAGTGTTCTGGTGAATAAACGAACCTATTCAGACATATATTATGAGATTGCGGAAACATGCAACTCAGCGATTATTAAACTTGTTAGCTAAACCGGTTTGATATACTAATTTTACTAACCACATACCTGAATTAAGTTAGTGGTTAACTGATGTAGACTACTGCCCAGTTCACTGCATTTAAATATGACCATCGACCAAAGAAGTTAAGGATATGTAAGTCAGTATAATTTATACATAATTGTTGCATCATCTGTGGATTAGTTGTTGGTGAAAAATAAAATTTTCATCTTTAGTTTTCTCTCCTACCTTGAGTCAATTTTTTTCATTATCTGCCCAGTTATAATAAGTAGCCGCAACAATGTTTTGTTCAGTTATAACAATATACCAGTATGGCTGAGAAAAAAATCATCAACCAAAAACGTAGGACCAGTTATTTAATTGTGCTAATACTTGAACTGTACTGACAAAATTTTTGAAAAAATTCAATACAAACATCTACTTCAGTTTGAATAGTCAAAGAGTATTTCTGGAACTCGTATAAGTAGTGTGAGCTTAAAGGCCATTACACTTGCATGTCACATTTTTACCGAGCTAAATTTTATTTTGTTACATATATGTTGAAATCATATTGAATGTATGTCATATTTACTATTTAAAACATATTATAATGAATTTATCATGACACAAGTCATAACTTATCATTTTAACTGTTATTTTATAGGCATGAGTACTGTACCAGAAGTAATAATTGCATGTCATTGTGGAATCAAAGTGCTTGCTGTCTCACTAATCGCAAATAATAGTATTTTGGACGCAGAAAATGATGTTAGTATAAATCACGAAAAAGTTCTAGCTGTGGCTGCGAAACGTGCCGATCTGTTACAAATGTGGTTCAAAAAAATTATCACCAGAGTTTCATTAGACTAAGGTGAATTTATTTCGATAATTTTTGTCAGTCACTCCATAAAATAATTCCTCGTTGCAATTACACACAGATAAACAAATTAGACTTCCTCCTGAAACTCAGTTACTTCTCTTTTTCAATTAGTCAGTTAAAAACCGACAGGTGAACATCTTGTTAATACTGTTTGTTAAACGATAATACCTTTTTCTTCGCCTTATATTGATAGAAAACATTCATTACACTAACTTATGTTTTTTCACTAACTTCATTAATTTTTTGTTAACCTATTTATTTGTTAGTGATTTGAAATAACTTTATTATAGTTTTAAAAATATTTCAGGACATGGAAAATAATAAATTTGGTTCGACTATGAACTCATTAGATAAACAGAGATTGAGAATGTAATACAAATTAAATGACTATAATGAAACATGACCCTAAGAATTTCAGGTTGGTTTTCTAAAACAATATACAATCCCCTACCACATTACTAACTTTAGTCAGATAATCACTGAAAAGCAGGAATCACATTCGATCAGTAAAATCCTATCATTCCGAAGATTAAGTACATAATTTAGGAAATCGATCATGGAGTATTCAGTGGAAAAATGTATGTATTAAATTACTATGGGAAATAAAAATAACATAATCCATATTTTTCCAGGGAACATTCATGATACTTCCAATATATGTTCATAGCCTAGCTTATTAGAAATGTTCAAATCTTAATGTATATTTACAAATAATTTCTTCTGTTCAAAATTTTCAACGGATGATAGTTTTAATTCAATTTTTTTTCTCAATTAATCACAATAAAAATTCAGTCTTCTTAAGATTTTATTCAGGTGTTGCTACAAAACTTTCCGCACTACCACACTATATGCTGATATGGTTAATACAGAGATGTTTAAGCATTATGATATAAAACTAATCCAGCGGAAGTGGACTGCTGTTTAATTTTTCTAAAATACCAGAACCATAAATAATTGTGTTAAACGACCAAGTATAACCCCTCCTCCAATACGTCATATTCTTCCCAAATATTTCAGTAGACTTTCGTTACTTATAAGTTCATTACATCCAGTTAGACAGTTGAAAGCTCACTTTATAATTCTAAGCTGTTAAAAGCTTTTTCCAAAACGTATTTAAAATACAACTGCTAATGTATGAGTATAACTATGGTTTTAGCTGATATACCAGATTGTTTCAGGCATTATGTTACACTAACGCGCAATGTGTGAGAAAGTTTGTTGATAAAGACACATGATTTAAAGACGAAATGAGGTTATTAATTATCCAGTAGTAAGTTTAGTAAACAAGAACATGAAATGTTAGTGTTTAGATATACACGAAACGAAATATTTAAATTAAACCTGATGTAAAATAAAGTATAATAAATGTTCGTGTCCGGAAATACAATGCGGAACGACAAAAATGTCCATAAATAAATTCATAAAAATGTTTAAATTGTATCACATTTGGGTTAACTATTTAAATATGAAGTAACGAAACTGTCTTATCACTTATGAAAAAAAATTAGTACGAAATTTATTGTTGATAGCATAGAAATGATACAACTACTAGTTTGTGCATGAAAGAAATTAAACGCACAAATAGAAGTCGGTAATTATGAAAAGATATAAATAAGTGGAATACAGAAATACTCTACGACTATCAATTTTGTTAGATATATACAGTAGTATGACTTTGCGAACCTGTATATTATTATATTGATATGACAATGCTTATATACTTACAGTTTGGAAACCTGACATCAAAAAGTAGAAATAAGCTATCATGATTCGGTAAGTTATTTTAAAAGTTAAAAAAATGTACTCCTGTAATTTCTGTTTATCAAAGGTAACATTTTTTTGTATTAACTGACGAACCCCAAGAAACAAGTTTTCTGGAATCTATTAAACAAACTAATGATCTTTGCAAACATTATATTTAAAAATGAAGCATGATAGAAAACACGTAACACAATTCCTACCGGCTTGAGTTGACACCGTTTCATAAATATGTCTTCTTGGTAGGATTACTTTCAAACGAAGTTTCGTTCAATCTAAATACTTCCCAAAAGTTGCAAATGACGGATATCTCATCACACTACTTATAGGGTGTTGCGAAAATGACTGGACTTAATAGTTCATACCATGGACTGATTTCATTAAGCCAGACACTGAGAACAAGGAAGTACTGAACAGTTATTTTACCCTAGTATGAAACCATTCGATAGTCTATATTCATGACCCACCTCTGAAGATCGAAACCAAGATGTTCAGTTGTGGCAGCGAGTGTCTAAGCTTGACGAAAGAGTCGACATCCAGTGGTTTATCCTTCTAACTTTAACGAATTCATAATATTCCACAATCACCCCATACTATCACCGGTGGGTAACTGTCTGACACCTAACATGGCTGAACTCGATTGGCCATAACTTTTCACCAAAAACTCCGGGAGTCATATTCCAAAACTAGTCACTAGTGAGAAAATGAATATTATCAGTATATAAGGATTAAGGAGATTTCCAACAGTTGTAACCGGTAGAATTGGATGATAGCCGCTCCATTTTGGAAACTGATTGGAGTTGCTATTATACCACACAAACTCAGTAGTTCTAATGCTTAAGTGGTCACCACGAGACCTGAAAGCTATGGATTTGATTCCCAGTATGGTTGTGTATACTCGCTGCTCAAGAGTCCCATATCAGGATGGAACGGCTATCCAATGCTTTCCGGTTCTTAGTAGTTATTAGTGTAGAGTTGTTGAGTACTGATTGAGATTATGAATCGACTTAGCACGCAAGATCCGAAGGCAGGACTTTCGGTCTCGTGCGCGAATAATTAACCTCCAGACCACTGGGCGGGCATCCAACGGTGTTATGTTTGACTTCAACCAATCCACGATATTGTGTGATTATTTTCCATTAACTTAGGTGGGTAACTACCTCACATCTGACAAGGATAAGCTCCACTAGTTACGACTTCTCGCCAGGACTCTTGGTAGTTAATTAAATAAGACCAGTCCATGAGGTAAATTGTGAAACTCCTAATATTAGTTTTTCGTCTATTTAGACTTTACATGTCAAAGCGTTAGTATATGTTAACGGTACCGAAGTTGAACTAATGTGACTCTTTTAAGTTCATGTCACGATAAACGTGAATCTGTAATATGCAGCAATTTACTACTACAACAGAATTTTAATTAAATGACTTACTCCAAGGAATTTTTGAATGAGTCTTAATGTACAAACAGAATATTCGGACAGGTTTCCGACAGCCAGACGGCTAGCATTACGTCCACTTTCACAAGCCATTAAAACGAAAGCCAACGACTGGGTTCCCGAATCAATGAAGCCCCCTCTGTATATCTTGCACATTCAAAAAATAACAACGTGGTATATGCACTATAATCTTTGGTAAATAATTGAAAATGATCTGACACTTATGCGGGATGTGTAGACATGTATTATTCGACTAAATGGGGAAGTAATATATAATTTCCAATAATACCCCAAAAAAGACATCTTAAACGACTTATCCTAGTTTGTATCGAATTTAAACCATTCAAAGTAATAGTGAATTCCTAACTTTAATTGATAACTTAGATTTCTCAGAGAGTGACTTCAAGGTTAAGGTATTCGCTCCTCATCATGACTGTTGGACTAATCTTAAGGATACTGAGAGAAATTGATGATTAACTATCGCTAACTACGAATTCCGCTGCATAGTATTTTGTTTGAAAATGGAGGAATGCTTTATGTTACATTGAATGAAGGATCACTCTTGCATTTTGGGAGATATTATGAAGAAACTAGTTGTCTTCTTATATGGATCAGATATCTAAAAAAATAAAATCAGTCACTTCAAATAAAGTGGATTCATTGTAGCTAAATGGGTTACAAGAAGACAGTACTTATACTTGAGTTGAGAAGTCACAAAATCAAACACGATTGTAAAAGATAATTCACAGAACAGTTTGTATTAAATGACTGCTTCGGTGAATTGTTTGAACACAGGTTAATGAATGAACTTTATTAAATCGCTACAGTCGTTCTGTACAGACAATGATAAGTGGATACATAAGAAATTATATTATACAAACTGTGGTTAAGAATCCAACTGGATAGATGTAAAAGCCCAAAAAGCGGAAATGATAATATCGGGAAATATTGAGAAGTTCATTTTTGTTAACAACTAATGAGATAGGTAACATGAAGGTGATTGATGAACCAATTGAGTACATAATTCATAAAACAAGGTCGATCGCGATGCATATGTACTTAAACTGTTAGCAACAAACAACATCTGATTAAATTTTTATTGTTCCCCGTTCCTTTGAAAACTGCGCTTATTCTATATGTTAATCACCATGGCGTAAATGTATTTACTCTTTCTCTAAATCTTGAGTCCCAGTATTCTTTCAGATAAACCTATTCACAGCCTATTCCAACTATATTCACAACGCTATAGTCGGTACAACGTTATTTCGACTCCTTTCCCATTTATCTTGTTAACTTCATCTCATCATGCTAATATAGTATCGCAACCTAGGCCAACCCAAGCTCCATGCTGATTATGACTGACTACATTAGTAAAACGTTAATTACATGAAGCTACTAGGCTGAAAGGAAGAAATTTGACCTAACTACGTCTATGTTTATTTTCATATAATTCAGAATAAACAATATGGGTAAATAATGATGTAAAATCTATAGTGACTCAATTGGAGAATTCGTAATGATCAATAAAATACGTAAAAGGATTGCGAACATTCCTCAGAGAATTATAAACAAGGTTTACGTAAAAAAGCTATCATAAATCTTGAGAAAGATGATTTAAGCTATAAAGTTTGTTTCCCATTCTCCAAAATGAGCTATTGAAGAGTTAGTTCAAATATTCGATGACATTCAATTACATTTATGCTATAGAGTCCTTGATTCTTCTCATGCTTCGTAATATTATATTTTGAATTTACAATACACCAAGATTTTAACCCAAGGATTCCGATCAGTTGGATTTCCAATATCCGACCTGGTGAATAATTAATCAAGCTAGATTTAGTTAGACAATCTCTAATTTTTCAACATTTTTGTTACCAATATTTAGTAACATTACGACAATTTGAGGTTGAATAACACAAACATTTGTGACATTTTACCATACTATCATTGAATTCATTGATTCAAAGATTTCCAGTGTTCTTTGATGCTTAGACAGCTAAAAAGGTTGTGGTCAAGTACGTCGAATTTTATTATAATCAACCATAGAATAGTATAACCTGTCAATCGTTGGTAAGAACACTCTTTAAGAAAATACGAATGCATACTATTAGGTTGGAGATTTCGGCCTTGGTGTTTTGTCTGATATTACTTAGTGACAAAAACCAGATAATAAACAAACTAGGCATTCATTCAAGTGATAATTTTTTTATCATTTAAAAGGGTTACGTTATAAGATACATAGATTTCAAAATTTTTATGGAAGCTAATCCACCTTGGAAATAGAATGCTTACAGAAAGTAGTAGCTATTCCAAGTGCATAGTCTACTCTTTAGATACATGAAAATTTTTGAGTTCAAATAGTGAGTTTCTCGACTTCATGAATGACAAAAAAATGTCAATTAAACCTACTGAGATGAGTAACATTGAAAGCAAGGTTATACTAAATGAATACCTGATCTAATAGTCGGTTTGCTGCTAATTTTCCTATCGTTTCTGCATCCATAAGAACGTTATCACTCCCTTCAGGTTCCGACATCGCTTCTGCAGAATATACACCACCGTCTTTACGTTCCGCCCATAGAGTCAGACCAAATCCAGGGCTTTTGCCTGCATATTGACCCTGAAGAAGTTGGTAAAAGTATCACAAAATGTTAAAAGTTAACTAACACTAAATCTTAAAAAATCTTGAGCTGTATGCTCACACATCAACACAAAGTAAAAATCAGTTAAAACTCAAACCGCAAAACGACTGTAAGCCGAAGTACTTGAGCCTAGCTATGTAAATATCAAGGGTATGCATATTTAAAAATACCAGCATAGATAAAAATACAGTTTTAATTAGTCATTTAATCGATTCCAACTTTATTCGACTAGAAATGATGAATGAAAAACTGTGTATTGTTGTCCACATTCTAACACCAAAGACTGAAGAACAAAAGTGCATCGACTACAATTTTATTTTAGCATTTAGATCACCTCTAATAGGGGGAATAATAAATGAATTATAGCAGATATAAAGTTTTAGTAATGGGAAATATACATTGGAGGTGTGAGTACAACGTAAGATGAGCTGATCTATGGAGCAGTTAGACAAAACAATATGATATAGTACATTTAAGGTCATATTTACAAGTATTTTAGAAAAACCTAGGAGCTGCAGTTGTCAGGTGAACCTGAAAATGTTATGGGTAGTTATGACTCAAAGTTAATATATCAGACAGAATTATTTTATTTAGTATTATTTTATTTGAACATATAAATATTGGTACAAGGGGACACCTGGAGTCCCTCCGGGGGCTACTGCCGGTCCCAAGCCCGGATAAAGGAGGAGGGTTGGGCATGGGGTTAGCGACCCCATCCCGTAGAAAACTAACTCGCTAAAAAACACTAACCAGAAAAATCATTCGAACCTTTTAAACAAGGGGACACCAGATATATATGAGCCACACAAAACAATGAGAATGGGAAGAGAAAAAGGTAAGATGAATATAAGAAAAAAAAGAACAATAACTACCACAGATTGGTGTATGGTAGTGTAATTAATAATAATAATAATAATAATAATAATAATAATAATAATAATAATAATATTGGAGGAAACGGAAAGGTACAACCAGAAAGAACTCCTTCAGTTGAGGAAGTTACAACCACATTTTATGAGAAAAGTAAAAGGTTACAGCAGGACCGCCACTAGCTTCCATTCGGAGCCATTTCTGATAACGTCTCTAACCACTGTGTAGCACCATCTCTCGGACTCCAGCCAGGGAGTCGTTAAAGACCAACACAAGCCAGCCCTTTGTAGATTTCTTTCATACCACGACACCATGTCATACACTGACCACCTCTCCGCTTTTTCCAACCAGTCCCAGCGTCGGCAAATAATTTACGACGTGGAATTCTCTGGGATGACATTTGTAGAACATGTCCAAGCCACCAAGGTTGATGTTTCAAGATGGTGACAGAATTATAAAAGTATGTCAACCATAGTTGACCAAAAGTCAAGCCCATTAATTACTCTCTGTGATATGAATTATGAAAAAAATCTGGGATTTTCATGCAGTTAAATCAAAGTTAGTACTTTGCATGAACTCAGTGGTCGCCTTTATTCTTTTAATTGCATAGCGCTTTTTAAAATGAATGGTTTGATCATGAAGCTCTCATGACTTCTCAACCACATAAATGTATATTTTAAGAGTGATTTGCAAAAAAATTCTGTTTGTTAATAAATGTCTGTCCCAATAGCTTGGGATTTATTTTTTGACTATCGATAATTGTGAAGTAAATGACACAGAGGTTGATGATTAGGAAATTTCTGATATAAGTTACAATAAAGTACAATGATTTCCGAATTTTAGATTGGTGTTTTCGTCTATCTATTTTCAATTACTGTATGATAATTATTGCCGTCGTACGGCCGAGAGTGGGGTCAGTCCTTCCTCTTGAAATGCTCGCACATGGCCATGTGAATACAACCACTGCCAGGGAAGTCCTACTCAATGCCTTCTCGCGGTGTGAGTGTTGTTTACGAAATTGAGAAGACGAAAAGCGAATGTCTCTTCGTGTCCAACTAGGGGAGTTTGAAAACCAATGGTGTAAATAAGCTCCAGGATACTGAGGGAAAAATGGCGTATGAACCTATTGTTGGTCAACGGACATCATAGGGCTGCGTCACTTGATGCTGTTCCACTGCCTTGTGAATCAGATCTTTAGGTCGAATGCTCCGGGTGTGGCCCCTAAGAAAACCACCTGCTTCGGTTTAAGCACCCGGAGAGTATCTCAGCCCTCACACAAATCGAATTATTTGTATGGCGCATTACTATTTGGTACTTCCTTGTACTAATGTTTATGTGTTAAATAAACAAATAAAGTCACTATGGCCAACTATTCTAGTGCGCGAAACACTCCCAGGTCTACTGACACCCAGCTCCAAACTAAACATCGGAGCCTCAAAAGTACGCACTCTATGTCATATCAGCCAGCAGGTCTCCTTGACAAAAACCCCGGAATCTCGTACCATTAATGTATGCTGTCTCCGAAACAAACATACAGAATCCTCCGTATCCACCATGGTGACACATGAGGAGGAAGTTTCGAGTTGAACGTCGAGGTAGGAGAAATAATAGTAATTAAAGAGGAAGATCGATTATAACTACAATGGTCTTGAGTGCTATTAGAGGTATGAGGGCGGTTATCACTTCCCGGTTGCCCACACCGTGGAAGGGTTCTTCTGGAGGTGCCCGAAAAGGAAGTTGGATTAGAGGTGGTCTTAGTGACCTGAGAACGTGACCGCAGTGCCCAAGAGACAACTGCTTGAGGCCAGTCACACACGACCTTTTGTGAGTAGTTTTCGTGTTAACTCCGTACTTGTTGGGACCTTGCAGTCGGAGACGGATATCCGTGGGATAAGGCAAAGTGTGTATATTAAGGGCCGACTTTTTCTAACCGCACTCCTCCTTGTGAGAAGGCAGCATTGCTGTTGTGCTGGCTGTTTGAAGGAAACACTTTACTGCCGTCACACCTCTGTACAGTCAGCAGCACGACTTCGCTATCGGACCTTGGGTTTGCTACTTCTAGTCTTACTGCTCTTCAACAGACCTGCCTAGCATGGTAGAACCTTGAGTAATGATTGTTCCAGCCAGTATAGCTCGATTAGTTCATTACGATAGACAAGCCCGCCACCTCGTCAAGGTAGCAGAAACGGTCAGGCTTTGAACAGTAGAGGTCCAACAAATATAAAGCCATGTCATCGAAACGCGTCAACATAAGAACATTATAAAATTTCAGTTCAAAAACCATGAAACAGCTGACAAGCACTAATACTCATGTGGCAAAAGAACTCAGCAAAACACGATTTGATCTATACGTGGAACGAAACTAACAAAAATAGCCTAAATTTTAACATTAAAACATACATAGCATTTGATCATTTTTAATCATAAACTAACCTTTCGATGATCTATTGTAAAGTATACATCACTTAGAAATTGATTGAGAACTGATTTCGCACCAGACACTAAGGATTGTCCGTATGAAGAGCTTACACGACAGCTCCATGCAATACCACGAACTCTGAAAATTAGTCGTTTTGATTAGGTGAATTTAGAAGTATTTAAAAAATTTAATTTATCATGGGAAATTAATCGAATTTAAGCCAGTAGACAGTCAGCATTTAAACATGGACGTTTCATATTAATTTTTCAAAGAAATTCTAGTGAAATACGATACCGTCATACAGATAATGCAGCAATTTGCGTAGTGATGGAAGAAAAGGTGGTGTAGTCAATGAAGAAATTGTATTCTATAGAAAATCTAGCTCAAAAATTGTCCCTAACAGTTACGGTCAGCTTATATAACTATTATGAAGTATCCCAGAAAGCTACAGCAGGATCATCACTGGCCTTTGTTCTGAGTCATTTTCAATAACGTTTCAAGCCATTCAGTAAAAACCACCTAGTCAAAAAAAACTCAACAGATGATTTCGGAAGCAAGTTGGTGAAAGCAGAAAATCGCTAGGCATCAGCTCTAAAGGATATTACTCAACCAAAAGAAATTAAAATTCCTTGTCTTTAAAAGCCAATATACAAATAGAATAAACCTTTAAAAGTCTTCTTAGTAGATCAGTAACTAAGTGTCTGGTTAGCAAATGTTAAAATGATAACATGAACCAGTGTTAATGTATGCACTGAGCGAGTAGTGACAATCTCATGGGGACCACAGAAAATACTCATAAGACTGATTTGCTAAAATATGGATGGGATTCGAATGCGTGGTTTAACTTGATGATTTAGTACTGGGAACTGAGCAAATATTAAATAAAATTTACAAGGAAATGAGAGTACTCAACAGTTGATATAGTCAAAATCAAAATTCAACCAGGCTCAAATATATGTTAAATCAAGTTTCTATTCGATATCAACACCATTAACTAAAGCTAATATGTATGACATGCACATGGGTTATGTAAATTCAATATACGATCATTCTAACAACTTTGTGAGTTCGCGCACAATACAGATGTGGCTGGTTAAATGTGAAAATGGTTCGGCTGTAGTCAGTTTAGGAAATGTGAGGAAGTAACAGACAAGAGATGGAAATTATCCAAATACTTGATGAATTACAGAATCACTAAGGAGAACACTCAAGGAAACCTCTTACCTACCTATAAACTTTTCCAACATCAATCTTGTCAATTGGAACAACACCACTACAAGGCCTGGAAGAGAACAATACTTCACCCCCGCCACCAGGATATACACCACGTTTCTGAATATCGATTTTTGTTGAGGCGCCAGCACTTAAACCAACAGAGATGCGGTAGGTAGGTAACCACGACTGTGTGATCATGTCTACAGACGGATCATGGGGAACATTCGAAACCCCGACCAAAGTTGATTCAATAGGAGTTTTACAAAACGGTGCAACCATGAGTAGGAATTCCAAATAATAACCGATACCACGACTATTTGAACATTCGAAACTAAAACTGCCTCCAATCAGAGTACCTGGGGAAACAGACACAATAGTACCTATTTAAAACTGAAATGGCAAGTGTTAGAATAACCTGTATCATTTATTTTTATTACTGTTCCATTAGATATTTTATCAGCAAGCTTCAGTAAGCACACCTCAGCATCATCCACTCCTGGACTATCGTTTTTGTGGCGAATACGTTTTAAAACAAGTTTTTTACAGCTGATTAGACTAAGCGCTATCTTCACCCTAAAATTACCACATCCTTCCAGGACTATGCTGGAAACCATGGGATCAAACCTGCCTCCACGACCTTGAATGGCTTGGTTCGAACCCGGCATCCTGTATCTGGAGTACGTGTTAGCTTGCATGAGTTGTTAGTGTTCGCACAATTAAGTGGTCTGTTGACGTATGAAAGCCAAAAATAACGTTAAAAATCATTTAAGTGTGTCATCTCTCTTTTTTAGTGCAGACATTTTAATTGTTTTTCAGCTAATGTCGATTGGCAACATGCGGTTATACCCGCTTCCTTGAAGATCCTATTAGATCCTAAAAATAAAATGGTTTCAATGAACCCAATGAAATGCAATTGTAGGGGTTGTTTATTCACAGCAAGAAGCTCAATGCTTTTGGTCACGATCATGATTCACACCTACAGCGAAAATTTAAATTTTCTCCAGAATTAGAACTTTTTCTTCAATATTTGCCCAGCGTTATCCACAAATCTCCCTTTTTGGTTACTTGGGAAATCTTTTAGTTGCTGAAACACTTCGTTTAATGTAAGTGAACAGTTAAGGTGATTAATATTGAACAAAGAGTTTTTTGTTTTATAATGCTTTCCAGAAAGCATTTAGCGACTTTAAAAGAGTAATATGAGCAAATCTTCACCAGTTTGTCAACTACGCATGCCCAATATATTCAAGAACAGAGATCGCAGATAGGTAAGAATCAGTTTCTTTAATGATGTGTGATTACAGTCTTCCTCGTGACATCGATCTGAATAATTCATAAAACGTGTATTATCACGCTCTCCCAATAAGACGGAGGATGTTGCCTACTTAAACTTTCTCCCACTGTTAGCAAATTGTGATCGTTCTGTTTTGTCATTCATATCCAGGTCTTGTGAATTCGGGTACATTTTGTATTATGTGCCACTATCAGACAAACTCTTATTCTCCCATTGCTCATTGAGGACAGTTGCGGGTCCGAGTTGTCTCCATATAATTTGTTCCTCGGCCCTGTCAACCCCCTTTTGCCTGTCTATTCATTTAGTTTATGATATTGATCTCTCTTCTAAGGAAAAGTACACAACAACGTTGTAACTTTGAGGCGCGTCTGTGATTACACTTAAAAGTGTTCAAAACATTTCTCAGTGTTGGAACTGAACTGTCTTCACATGAAGTGCAGACTAATGGGTGCCTGGAATGTGTGAGAGACCAGGGAGATAAGTCAAATAGCTACGACTCTAGAAATAATTGAAACCATTTAGACCTAAACTGGACAGAAAAGACGGAATTAGAGAGAGATGTTGTTGTACTCTGATCATGAAGAGAAATGGTAATCAATGTCATGCACCCACTAATGTTAGCAATGAAGACAATGAGAATCGGCTTTATGATAGGCTTCAGTCAGCTGCAGAGAAGTGCTCGGGAAACGAACAGGTCGTTCCGATGGAAGATGTAAACGTCAAGTTCGGGGAGTACATCATAACAAATCAAGAGTAAGGAAGCAGCAAGACCTGACAATATTTAACCTGATGCACTGAAGTCAGACATAGAAGCAACTGCAAACATGCTCCACGTTCCATTCAGTAAGATTTGAGAGGAGGAACAAGTGCCACTGACATACTTGAAAGAAGCACATCTCTTGTCAAGTGTGAGAACTAAGGAGGCATCATGCCACCAATAGTAACATAAAAAATATTGACAGATCGTTGCTGAACCGGATGAAAGACTCAGTAGACACCCAACTTCAAGGTCAACAGATCAGATTCCATAAGGATCGTTCATGTACAGACCGAAACACGACAATACAGATAATCGCCGAACAGTCAATTGAATGGAATTTGTCACGGTACATCAACTCCCCTGACCATGAGGAAGCACTTGACAGGGTGAATAGGAGAGCCTCATGGAACCTTCTCCAACACTATGGTGTACTTGAGAAAACCGTCAACATCATACGACGGAAGACACTGTTAATTCGTGCATGGAAGACGGCTGACAGACGCATTCCAAGTGGAGACTGGAGACAGACAAAGATGATCACTCTCACCCTTTCAATTTCTTCTGGTAGTCGATTGGATCGTGAAGACCTTGACATCTGATGGGAAGCACGGAATACAATGAGCGGCTTGGATGAAGCTACTTAATTTGTTCTTTGCAGGTGACCTAACTCTTCTGTCCCATACAGACCAACAATTTCAGGTGTGGGCAGTCAATGTAGCAGCAGTACGTTTAATCATATATAAGAGAAAAATCAAAGTTTCGAAAAACAACACAGAGCATCAACCAAATCACGCTTGATGGGGGTCTGGAAGAGGTGGAAACTTTCCTATACCCGGGCAGCATCATCGATGAATAGAGAGGATATGATGCGGACGTGAGGACAGGTATTGGCGAAGCAAAAGCAGAATTCCTACTGTTGAAGAGCAAGTGTAACTCGAAACAGTTGTCAGACAACATCAAAGTCAGAGGCTTCAATACAAACGTCACGATGGTTGTACTGTACGGAGTTGAAACTTGGAGAAATACTACAATAATCATTCCAAAAGTACATGTATTTGTAAACAAATGTCTACTCAAGAAACTCACTGTTAGCTGGCTGGATTCCATCAGCGAAAGCCAACTATGGAAGAGAGCATAGTAGCTTTCAATTAAAGAGTTATTTAGGGGAAGATACTGTAGATGGAAATGGCATACTGCGCGAGTCATCAAACTGCATTAAGAGGTAAGCTTCAACGTGAAGTTCGCAAAATAAGAAGATCAAAGGACAATTTGGGTCAGGAATCAAAGGTGGACGTCAGAAGAATGGATAGTAGTTTGGAAAACTTTGAAACGATTGCCCAGGAAGGAGTCCATTGTGGGATCCTGATAGGTGGCTCTTTCGTGATGGGTAAAGCGTTTAAGTAGGCAAGTAATTAGGTGTTTGTAGTGTTTGTATGAATTAACGATTCCTTTGTACTTGTTGAATGCTTGATTTCGAATTCCAAATACAATACGTCTAATCACGCTCAATTAACATTTCTCGGTTTAATTCCGTTATTTCTGGGATTCATGGTTTGTACTAGAATTCAAATACTCATAATAATCATATTGGCTTCGCGATGGAGCCTGCGATGGAAAAGTTAGATATTCATTCAACTTCTGCAGTTTTTGAACCAACCTCCCAATTTCGGAAAAATTTGACTCGTTTTGGGCAAATTTTGAGGGTGCCGCTGTAGAAAGTTTTGGGGAACCGGCGTTTATTCAATTGTACGCGATTGTTATGTAAGCTCAAATGTATTGCTTCGATATTTTGCATCGTTTGCAGTAGACGATTCACAAAAAGAGTCCGATCAGTTGATATTGTAGCGTCTGGGTCTACTAGTTGACCTGGCAATGTCAGAGTTGTACCGAAAACCAGTTCAGAGGATGCACAACCGATATATTTCTTGATGTTTGAACGGATTCTCAACAGTATAAGTGGTGGAGTGTCGCTCCACTTCGATGTATCAGCTTGTTCCATCAGTGAGATTTTCAATTAGCGGTGAAAGTTTTCTACCAGACTATTAGCTACTGGATGATAAGCTGTCGTTTTGATGCTGTTTACGTCTAGAATTTCGGTAAATTTCTGAAGTGCGACGGATTGGAACTAGGGACAACGGTCTGTAGAACAGTTGAAGGTACTCCGTAATTTTATATCCAGCAGTCAAGGAATACGGATGCGACTATTTCTGCAGATTTATCTTTGACAGGGCATGCTATCGCTCATCTATTAAACCTGTCCACTGCTGTGAAAATATGTGTGAAGGCGTTTGATGGTGGTAGGTGATCAACTATATATAAATGAATATGTTAAAAGCGTTTGTCGGGTAGTAAGAACTTTCCAATGTATCGGATTGTATTTCTTTGAACACTGCTACTCCGACATTGCACACAACTTCGTGTCCACCTCTTTCCATCAGAGTTGATTTTAGGCCAGACGAAACGTTTTGTGATGAGTTTTGTTGTGACTGGTACTCCAGGATGTAAAAGTTCGTTTAGCTGTTGAAATATCAGTCGTCGACAAGCTTTTGGTATAAAAGGGCGGTTGTTGCCGTTCGAAACGTCGCAAATAACAGATGAATCTGAGAAAGATGTAGGTACAGGCTTGAAAACAAAATTGGACTTTTCTTTGCAGGTTTTCAGGTCTGCAGCCATAGTTTCAAGGCTAATATCGTGTTTATGTACCAGCATGTTGATATCCTTACAGATAAGGCATCTGCTACTATGTTGAAATATCCTTTAATGAACTGGATGTCTGTTGTAAATTGTGAAATATAATCCAGTTGTCGTGGTGAGTGTCCGTCGTATGACATGGTAAGAATATAACATGAGGTTTTACGGTCGGTCATTATTGTGAATTTGCGTCGTTGTAATAAAAAGTTGAAGTGCCTTACTGCTAAATAAATAGTTAGTAGCTCGAGACCGAATGTGCTATAACGCTCTTGAGTTGGCGATAGTCGTTTAGAGCGGAACGCTATAGCTGTAATCAAGTCGTTTATCCACTATTGCAATACTACACCTACTGCTTTCTGAGATGCACCGGTACTGAGAATTAGGTGAGTCGTAGGGTCAGAGTTTAAGTGATGTAAAATGACGGTATTTAAAATCATGGATTTTACTTTATCAAAAGCCGTTTTAGCGCCCGAATGCAGTGTGAAGAGTTCGTCTTCATTTGACCTCGTTTCATTTTTGTCTAGCTTCCAAAGATCCGTTGGGGGTTGTAATGTGTCTGCACATTTAGGTAGGAAACGTCGTTAAAAATTGCACATGCCAAATAATCAACGTACTGATTTTAATGAATTCGGCGCAGGGTTGTGAATGATAGCCTCCACTTTTTCCTGTAGTGGTTTAATTCCCTGGGAGTCGATGTGATGTCCCAGAAACTCTAAAGCTGACACGTCAAATATGGACTTTTAAGGGTCAATCACATTGCCATACTTTTTGAAACGCTCAAAGAGGATGTGTAAATGTTGTACATTCTCTTCTGTGGATGAGCTAGCTATCAAAACATCCTCGATACTAACAAACACGAAGTCTAAACCTCTTATAACTTCGTTCATGAATCGTTTAAATGTCTGTGCAGAATTTTTTAAATC